GATTGGGATGTTGGAATGTTTAAAGTTGTCCTGAAAGTTCCTAAACCTGTCCTCATTTTTTTGAATTCTTGTTTCTTTATTCTGTTCTGGTTGGATGTTTCTTCCTTCTGGTCCAAACCATTGATTTGAGTCCTGGTTTCCTTCCTGTCACTGTTGGTTCCCTGTACATTTCCCCGTATTTCACTTAGCCTTCATTTCTTTAATCTAATTTGCTACCATACTCAACCAATCCTGTGAGCGTCCTGATCACCAGTGTTTTGAACTGTACATCTGATAGGTTGGCTATCTCTTCGTTGCTTAGTCATATTTTTTTCTGGAGCTTTGATCTGTTCTTTCATTTGGGCCATATATTTTTTTTGTCTTGGAGCACCTGTTATGTAGTAAGGGTCAGAGTTTTAGGTATATGCCAGGTTGTGGAAACCCGCATTGCTGTGTTGTGGTGCTGTGTGGGGAGGAGGGGTCCAAGAGGGAACCATGTGGCTTGCTGGGCTCTTGGCTGGCTTTCAGTCACTGCTTCCACTACCCACAAGCAAATTGGGCCCTTCTGGTGCTGATTCCTGGGTGGGTGGGCTTGTGTACATTCTAGGACCCTATGGGCTTCTCCACCTCTTGTGAGGCTAGGAGTTTCTTCCACCATCTCGACCTCCAAAGATTTTTTTCAGTCAGAGGTTTCGAGGCTTTATTTCCCATGCTGGAACCCTGGGTTGTGAGGTCTGTCTCACTCCCCAGTTGTTCCTCCAGGTTTATCAGCACGCAAATGTGGGTCTACCTGGTCCTCCAGCCACCACCTTCCTGCTAGTCCTCTCTGCCCTGGTTGCCCATCTCCACCCCTCCTACTGATCTGAATGAATGTTTCTTCTTTATCTCCATGGTTGTTGGACTTCCATACAGTCCTATTTTCTGGTAGTTCTCATTGTTTTTTGTTTTTAAATTTGCTTTCCTTTTGGTTGTGTGAGGAGGCACAGTGTATGTACTTATGCCTCCATCTTGGCTGGAAGTTTCATTTAGAAATTAAACTTTTTTATAGGTATGTATGAATAGGAAAAATCATAGTTTGTATAGGGTTTGGTACTCTCCATGGTTTCAGGTATCCACTGGGAGTCTTGGAATACTACTTCCTGGGATAATAGGGGAGTAATTTATGCAGTGGGATCTACAGTGGACGGAAAAAGAGACTTCCCAATCAATACCAGGGAGACACAAAGGCTAGAGGATTCTGAATGTGATGGAGAGGTGATGTTCAATGTCACTGTAGATGAGGTGAGGCAGGGTTTTCCAAGAGAAGCCCCATAAGTGTCAGTGTCCAAGGAAAAAAAGACAACATATTGAAATGAGAATTCAAGTGAACTTTACTCCCATGGAGACTAACTAAGGTGGCTTTGTAGTTCAGGGAACCACAGAAGGTAGCACCAAGACCTACACTGGTGGCAATGACCCTGTTTGTCACTTTTCAGGCCCATAGAGATGAGGAGAGGGAGAACTTAATGGAATCTGGGAGGCCAGAGAGAGTTTGCATTTAGAGGAACTGGCAGTGACCTGGCAGGGGACATGACGAGGCCAAAGTGACATTGCTGGGAAGGATTCAATAGAAGAAATACCCTAACCCTTCTCTCTTCCTTCTCTTTAGTCTCCTGCTGGGGCTCTGGGTAGACTGAACTCAATCAGAGGTCAAAGGGCAGAGGAGACAATTACCTAAGAGATCAGCCTCCCAGAGGACGAGCAGAAGTAGATCTGGAGGGGCCAATAGGAGATGTTACAGAGAGTCACCAAGTGAGAGAATGCACCTAGAAGAGTTGATGGTCTAGAATGAAATGAAGTGGGGTTGGGATGATTTGGGTTTGGACAAACATTTGGGCTTTGTTGTATGTGCAGGAGTTTAGGACTCTCTTTGCCAAATGTAAGACATTGGGGGTGGACAGCAATCTTTTCTGTTCCACTTCAACTGAAGTCTTTTTTTCTTTAATTAAAAAAATTAAATGCACCTATAATGGCAGAACACCAAGAATTGGTTGGTTGGGGTTGTATTTGTAGAAAGATTCTAAAAACTCTGAAATAACCCTGGGCCATGATTTGTTCACAAATATTGAACATTTGCAGAAAAACTTAGCCCATTCATTTAAAAGTAACATTAAGCAAGTTATTGACAGATGCAATTTGTATGCTCTTCTTTTTTTATTGTTGACATTGTTACAGATGTTTCCCATTTCGCTCCCTCTTGCCCCCTTCCACCTAGCCCCTGCCTGTCTCTGGTCTTTACCACCTTACTCTTCAACTGAGTGATTGCTAAGTTTTTGTGGTATACTCAGATATACAAGTGGGACATTCTCCCCTCTTCTCTGCATACTTGTCCCTGTGTCATGGACAGCAATATCTCTATATCTGCTCTGTGGTCCATCGTGGCCATTCCTCCATCCTGTTTCCATGGCAGACACCACTAATCAAGCATAGTGTGCTCATCCTGTTCTTAAACCCAGTGCTTGGCCTGCAAAATGAAAGTAATTTGTAATTTCTGCCTTAAACTGTGCTCAACACATGGTAGTGTTCATTTGGCCTGCTCTCTCCATCTGGGGGTATGTGTGCCGACTGTCCACATCTGAGAAGGTAAATAATTTTTAAAAACTGGTTTTTGCCTCCTCTGCCTTTTGACCTCTGAGCTCAATCCATCTGGAGCCCCAGCAGGAGACTAAAGAGAAGAAAGAGAGAAAGGTCAGGGTATTTCTTCTATAAAATCCCTCTCAGCAATGTCACTTCAGCCTCGTCATATCCCCTGCCAGGTCACTGCCACTTGCTCTAAACGCAAACTCTCTCTGGCCTCCCAGATTCCAGTAAGCTTTCTCTCTCTTCACCCCTTGGGTCCTGGAACAGCCAATGAATGGCTCCTATGTGTCAGGTTCTATGTCTGGAGTGGGGTATTCACACTCATGTAAGCTGTGGTAGCTGTGAAAACATTCATAGGCCAGTGAGAGAGATGCAAACCAATATTGTCCATGAGTTTAAAGCTGCTTTAATAGAGGTTTGTACTGGGAACAAGACTCAGTTTCATCTGGAAACCAGATGCCAAAAATGCTATTTATACCTCCAAGGATACTGATGACGCGAGCTCTGAATGGGCCCTGTGTCCATTTGAGGATGACCTTACTCTGCTGGAGAGCTTTATCTTTTGACTTTGGAAAATCGAGTATGACTTAATAATCTGGGAAGAATCCAAAGTTATTCCACTTGGCCCCAAGAGATGACTTTTCTCTTATTCTGAGATCATAGTGCAGACAATCTGGAAAGACTCAAAACAGGATTTTTTCTTTTTATTTATTTACACAATCATCATCATCATTATTATTGCCACACTTAATATTTACTGAATGTCAAGCGACCTTGGGCAAAGAATAGGGTAGAATAAAGGGGAAACCTAGAGGTTTGCCATACAAAGGGAGTCTCCAGTGGAAACTGGGGGATTCTTTTGTGATGAGTAGACTCATGGTAAGAATTGGATTCAGGACAAGAATAGACCCTATGAATGGGTTTGGCTTCTACTGTAGACGATATTGCTCTGCCTGGATTCCTTTTCAGAGATTTTTTTCATTTCTTCGTAAAGTACTAGTGTCTGTTAAGCCAATCTCTGTCTCACAAAATGGTTATCATACATGTTCACTTTGTCCAGGAAAACAGGCTAGTTTTATACAAGATAAAGCAAATATCTATTTCCCAGAGGAAAAGATAACAATACCATAATCAGACATGGAAGGCTGAGAATAAAACAGTGTGCTTTAATTACTTAAGTTTTAAGTTTCTAAAAAGTTAATAGAAAAAATATAATAGAGAAGGCAAAACAAAGGAAGTTCAGTCCTTCCTCACCAAACTGGTAAATGAGAGCTGGCGTGTCTCCCCTGTGGGAAGGAGTTTTATCTCAGGGATGGAAGCAAAATAGAATGAAATAGAGAAAACTGTGTGAGAATTTCTAGGATATTAAAAATAAAAGTCAGGTTCATTCACCTTCACAATTTTCAAAATGTCTGTGTGTCCTTTTCACCAAAGATGGAATGGGGTTGCAGGAATGTGTCGGAGACTTCTGTTGGCTGCCCAGCAGTATCTGTTTCCCTATTTTGTCTCTTCAAAACACCTTGATTCCACTTGAGGACCCATGTGACTTTGGAGAAGCTGACATCCTACCTGTCTCCAGGAGTCAGGCACGCACATTTGGTGACATTTGATTCAGGAATGGAAATGTGACCTAACCTAAATGCAGTAAGGGTTAGTGTTGGAACTTTTTTTTTGAAGATTTTATTTATTTATTTTTAGAGAGAGAGGAAGGAAGAGAGAAAGAGAGGGAGAGAAACATCAGTGTGTTGTTGCCTCTGTGCACCCCTTGGTGGGGACCTGGCCTGCAACCCAGGCACATGGCCCGACTGGGAATTGAACTGGCAACCCGTTGGTTTGCAGGCTGGTGCTCAATCCATTAAGCCACACCAGCCAGGGCTAGTGCTGGATCTCTTGTTTAGGCTGCTGGGACACAAGGGTCCTGTCTGCCCCTGAAGGCTGTAGATCGTAGTTATGAGTCCTGAAGTGACCATTGTCCATTTTGGTGGGAAGTCGGTCTGAGACGAAACCACTGTGGAAGGCAGAGTTCAGAGTTTCTAAGGGAAATAAAGCTGAAATCTTGATGATATCATAAACCTTAGAACCAGAGTGCCTGAAATCCACCCAGCTTTTAGTGTTGTAATTATTGTAAGTTAAAGTTATTTTTATTTTTTACTTAATGCAGATGCACTCTTTATTAGTAATAACTAAAGCGATCTTAGCTAATATGTGTTTAGCAACGGCAGCTGTGCTTATGCAAAATCCTCAATGTGCTCAGCTCCATGCTATTTACCAGAAGTTACCGGGAATTACAGGTTTTCTCAATCCACTCTCCCCTTTACCCTCCAAAGGCTCGAAACATTCCTATGCACCCTTTATAGCTCAGTGAAACTTCCCTCTCTTGAGTGAAGCTAGCCTAGTCTTGCTCTTGACCTTAATGAAACGAATCATTTCCTCTTTGCTGTCACATCAGAGTCATTGTAATTCATGTGAAGCTTTCGCCACATCTTCTGGTTGGTTGTTTATGTGATTACCTTCTCCACAAGATTAGAAGTCTCTGAATCCAACGTGCCTGGGATAGACCTTGCCAACAGTCTGTGCCCAGTAAGTATATACCAATATGTACATATATGTATATATATTTCACTTATTTCTCCATCCTTTCCTGACTGTCGGTCAGTGTACCAGCAGGTTGGGATTCAAAGATGAATGCCCTGATCTTGGCTTCTAAAGAGCATACAGGGTAAGCATATAAATATTTTTATTGTACATATTCAGCAGTTTATTTATTATTTGTTTCTGCATATAATAGTAATTAAATACAACTGTAATAAATAACTTTATTTATAAATTATATAGATATACTACTCTGCTAATGTACTATTCACATTACAAAAGTTAAGAAAACATTGGATGAGCTAAGACTAAGCATAAATCAAAGGCTTACTAATTTACTGCTGCACCCTAATGGATGGCCTCACACGGGCCCTACATGCCCCCTCTGCAGACCACTCTGCAGACCACTGGCCCACTGGCTCAGAGATCAATGGAATCAGACTGGAGGGAGGTCCACGTAGGCTTGTCTGGTGTGGAAAATGAGCCCCCAGTGCTCTGAGCTTGAGGTTCTCTGGGCGGTGGGAAGGAAGATCAGGCCCTGGGTGGTTCAGAGGGCTTCACTTCTCATTCTTCGTGCTCTGAGGCTTCCAAGAAGGGAAGGGCTTGAGTCCCCTCCAGAAAGCTATCAGGTTTCCTTTCCCCTCAGCACAACCCATAGAAAGCTGGCTTCCTGGGCAGACTAAGGAGAATGCCCTCTGGTGAGAATTACTCCTGCTGTTTCCGGAGCATTCCGCTTCCAGGGTCCCTGGCAGTACAGACTACAGAATGCATCTAAGCCTCCACTGTCTAAACAAGGGTCTTTTCTGACTCAGCCAGTAACTCAGTGTCCATCCCCCATATTAAACACAAAGGGCTTGACTTTACCCTTGGCGCCAAGAGATCTTTATTAGCTCCCTGACTCCCAATGTCTCCAGCCAGGCAGAACTAAGGGGCTCCATATTCTGTTTGCCACATGCCCACTGGATAGTTTCCAAGGGCAGAACAAGTGGACTGGAATGCACTATTTCACGTATTCTTTCCCGTGCTGACAGTCCCATGAACTATGTGCTATCCCACTTTACAAATAAGATGACTGAGACCATGCAAATTTAATGACTTCCCCCAAAGTCAATTAATATGCCATAGATACAGGATTCAAACCAGAGTTCCCTTGCTTTGGCCACTTTCCTTGTTACACTGCACTGCTCTGTCTCATTAATGATGGTGGAATTAATTGCTATTAAGGTGATAGATTCTGTTTAATTTATAAGCAGATAGCAGGTTGGTAGAAATCATATAGCTTCAGAGTTTGAGGGACGGTAGGAATAGTGTATTCTTCTTGCTTGTTATATGGACGTTTATTCCACCAGCAAGGTGAGCTGACTTGCCTGGTAGTGAAAATGGGATTTGAAGCAGAGTCGTTCCTTCATGCCCGAGTCCCCATTTTACCACCCTGCGTAGCTTGTCTGGTTCCTCGGGAAGAAGAGTGGGTGGGGCTTTGCAATCATAATACAGGTTAATATCATATAGCAGCTCAGAATTTAACCAGTGCTTTCATATGCATTATTTTTTGACTCTTATTACCACCATGCAGGCAACTATTATTTTATTCTTCTCCCTGGTTTGCAAATGAGAAAAGAGACATGTGCAGTATAGGGCCAGGGAGCCAGGACTCTTTTAAAACCACTGGATTCTGTGCCCCCCCTGCCCCCCAAGGACTGTCTGTCTATGTAGGAGTTTATAGTTCTGCACATTATTTCAGTTTCATAAGCTGTTATTATCAACTCATGCCAGAAGAAGACAGGAGCACAGACGCACACTGACATGCCCCAGCTCCTGTTGAGAATTCCTGTGGAGCCTGCCTTTTTATTTTGTTAGGAGAGCAAAATGAACCCGACTCAGCTGTTGATGAGACACTTTAGTTAATTTCCACATTCAAACAGACACTTATCCTTAATAGAAACAAATGAAAACACAATAAAAATGGTAAAACATATTATTAAAGTTTAACAAAGATGAAGACATGCAATGATCAGAAGAGTCTTAGCCTAACTTGGAAGATTAACATCAGGGGCCCTTCTTATAAGACTGTTGTTAATGCATCAGCAGACACATTTTGGGGGCTAAGTATGCTTTATACATTATATCCTGACATGCTCACAAAATGCAATGAAGTGTGATGTTATGATGATCACTGTTCTAATTTTACAGAAAGAACTGTTAAGCTGGCCTGGAATCCACAGGATCTGCCTGAACAAAGGATCTTGACCAGCTTGCTCATCGGCATGAGGAGTATGCTGCTTCTTGCATTGTTTCTCCTGTTGGTGGTGGGTTGGCTCATCTTAGGAGGAAAAGGTGTTATCAGGCTCTTCATGCTGACATCTCTAAAAGATTTCACTGGTAGTTCAAGACTCAACGGGCAATACATATAAATGTCCTTTGGGTTAATGTCCTTGTCAAAGAACTGTGAGATTAATAACAATGCTGTTTTCTGTTATTTCTTTATCCAATCAAGAAAGAAATGGAGAGTTTTAATTGAATGCTAGGGCCAGGTAGAGCCTTAGATGTTTAATATGAAGCACTTCCTTTGCTCTGTAATTGTGATGTACACTGACCCAGAGTGCCATAGTGCAACTCAGGAGAAGCAAGGAAGAGGCAGAGAGAAATTTAGGCTCTGAGCGACATGGATCTGAACCCCAAACCTGTGCATGTCTCTCTGTACAGCATGGCCAAGCCACCTTTGATACAGAACCATTGTCATTTCAGTTAATTTCAGCCAACATTGAACCCCCATTACATGGGAAAGCAGTGCATCTATGATTCTCCCCACTCCTGGACCAAATCTCAGCCAAATGTGTTGGGACTCTGTTCAGTCAAAGAACATTCAGTCAAATGTTCAGTTCAAGTGCAGACCCTTTTCAATAATTTAAATGTACAGACTGGTGCAATTATTGAAGCTCAAGCCTTACTCCAATTTTAACTTTTCCCTTGCCTTGAATCAGGCCAACTTCAGACTTGGAAGCTGCTGGTAGTTCTTGGGCCATGAGTATCTTCTCTGTTTCCCTACCCTAATCTTCTGTTTCATTCTGCTCTCTCTAGTCTAGATTTCTGATTTTTTCATGGTCAAGTGCAGGAGGAGGAAAAAGGCCATTGTGGCAGGCAGAGGAGTGACTTGGTGCTGGACCCTGCTGCATGTGGCACAGGTATTTCCTGTTTATTGTTCAAAGGGTCCATTCTGGGGGCAGATTTCAGAAGTCTTCGTACTAGAAGTATATCCATGGGTCCTGCACCTCTAGTTGGCCTCTTCCAATTTCTCTTGCCCACTGGGCTTTCCACAGTCCACCCCACAAAGACATTAGGCTGGCTTCTAACTTCGGGGCCACCACTGGTGCCCTGGTGCCCAGGGTGCCCTGGTGCCCACATGAAAAATGTGGTTTTCCCCATGGATGGGGCTCCATTTCTTTAGTGCCAGGATATCTGAGGTAGGTAGTTATGGCCACGACACTCCCAGTCGCAGTCTTCCCCAAGCCAAGGTCATTATTTCCCAAATCTAACACACAAGCCACCGAGGTGCTCCTTCAAAATTCCTTTCACTTGGTTTGAGGTCAGAAGCAAGTTTCTCCCTTTTTCTCTGAGTTTTGGGATGTGGCACACAGACCTCAGATAGCCCCATAAAAGGAAAGCTTTGTCACCTGCTCTTCTGCTCAAATCCTTCTATTCCTTTGAGGTGGGTGACAATCTCATTTGTACAATTTTGTAGCAAATAAGGCCTAGCCCTGTATTTTGGATCTGGCTGATTGGCACCTATTTTTGAGGTCTTGGGGAATTCTGCCAGTGAGGACACAGAAGGGCTCCCATTTATCAGCCTCTTATGCTAACATTTATTCAAGGCTACTACATGCCAAACAGAGTTAATCCCTGGTTATTTCATTTCATCTCCAGAATGGCCTATTGGATGGTATTGTTTTCCTGATGAGGAAATTTCAACACAATAATTCAAGTTAATGTAGTTATCAGCATTGGAGCTGGACATTAATCCAGGCAGTCTGATGATTTCCAAATGGTTAATCACTGCATTGAACTTCTCCACAATACCAGCAGGGTTGGGAATTATGCCAGGTCAACTTATTAGAAGAAAATCATGCCCAAATCTCACTAGTTCTGAACATAGTGGTTGAGTTAGATAGAATTAGGGGAGTTGGGGAAAGAAGGTAAAAAGGAAATAGATAGAAACCCTTAGAAACCACTGACTGGGGTGGGCGTAGAGGGTGGGCATAGATTTGAAATCCTAGAGGCCTGGGCTTGACTCTGACATTTTTATTGCTAGAATGACCTTGGGCAAGTTATTTTACTAACCTTAGTCTTGGTTTCAGTTCTATAAAATAAGAATAATATATATCTCAGGACTCATCTGAGAAATAAATGGGATGTTGCAAGTGCTCATCAAATAGTGTGAAGTGTTAGATAATTGAGGGCTGTGATGATGATGATGATGGTGATGATTATAGCTAATGACAATAACTAATATTTATCGTTATTATATGCCAGGTGGTGGTCTAGACTCTAAGTACTTTACATGCATTTACTTGTTCAGTCTTCAAGATGGGTGATGAGACAGTACTATTCCTGCTTCTTGTTACAAGACAGTAAACTCAGGCATGGCTGAGCAATTTGCCTGATGTTAACACAGCTGGTGAGCAGCAGGCTGGGAAATGAACACAGTCGACCTATGAATGGAGCTTAGGTGTAGCCAGCACCACTCTAGAAATATGCAGAAATCTCAGGGAGGTGTGTGATTCTTCTCCGTCACAATGTATAGTAATGGCATCATTATAGTTAGTTTTACACAATTCTTTAAGCATCAGGAAGTCCATTAAAGTGCAGTATTTTTAAAATACAGGAATATCATCAGAGCATATTTGAGGAATGAATATTTATTAAATAAATCAATAATTAAGAGAAGGCCAGACATTAATTGCCTGTTATCTGATTTGTTATAAAAGCTATTTGAAAATTATTCAGTGAACCCAAAGATTAATCCAACTTTTTTACTTTTACTATGGAAGAGAAAAATAACAGAAATATTCTGTGATTTTTTGCAGGGATTCAAAATTTCTTCTTGATCATGACACATGGAGTCTGCTTATCAAGGGAATGCCTTGCTTTACGGTACGTACAGCATAAATGCTTTAGGGAGCAGAAATAGATTTCACTTTATTTCCCCTTTTCCCAGCAGAACATAATCTGTGCGTAGTGATGTAATCAGCAACAGTGAGTTTGTGGAAAACTTCCTACACAAATCAAAAACTTTCAATATGCATTTGCTTGTGATTTCTGGTGCCCTCTGACCAGATGGGGTAACCATCTGTAATTCCATTTGTGTGTGTGTTATAACAATAAGCTGAATAACCACAACGTCAAACAGACTTTTTAAAAAAAGCCTGATAATCACTAGCATTTCAATTGATTCATGTGTACTCTGGCATTTGGAAAGTGCATTATATTTTTAGGGTGAAATGATCTGTTTTGTTATTTTATTTTATTTTTTAATACAATCATACCCTTCCTTCTATTTTTCCTTCCCTCCACTTTGTCTTTTTTCCATCCTTCTAGCTTGTTTCAGGTAGGTGTCTTTTGTCTCAAGCAGCACACAGCAACTCAGATTGAGTATAAAAACGAGGAAGGTGATGTTGGATGAATTTGGAGTGGCTCTCTGGGTGCAAAGAGAAGCTGACCCAATAGTTCATTGGAAGCTCTTTTCAACAGTTCATTTTTCCAATCACTGCCTGGCACCCAATCCCAAAGTCATTTCTGAATGCCAATATCGAATCATCATGTTTAAACTTAAAAGTTATACTATGCTGTAATCAATTGTATCTCAATAAAACTGGGGGCCAGGGCAAGTTAGCCATTGTTATGTAAGGAACCCCTCCAAACCTCAGTGGCTTAAAACAATAGGCATTTGTTAGATCCCATTTGCAGTTCGTCTGAGGAGGTCTTCTGGTCTGGACCAGGCTCAGCTTGTGATGGGGACAGAGTTATTTTATTGTCCAAGTATCTGAGGTCAGCAGCTCATTATCTGGGGGCTTTCTGCATCTTGGCTGGTTCCTTCTGTACTTCTAAGGTCTTGCCTGGAAGAAACAGGCAGGCTTTGCCTTACGTGGCCTTTCATTCATGGGAAGCGAGGGGGAGGAGGGTGTTACTGGCTCTTGTTCAGTGAAGGTGGAAGGGTCCAGGAAAATGAGCAGAAGAATGGGCAGCCTCTTATAGCCTAGGCTCAGACCTAGCATGACACTACCTCTGCCCCATCTGTGGGTCAAAGTGAGTACCTAGACCAGCCCAGATTCAAGGTGGGGAATGGAGAAACAGATGTTACCTATGGTTTGATCACCGTGCAGAGGGACATAATGGTGGTCATTTTTGGAAACAATATACAGGGACAGAAACCACAGCTCCCAAGTAGGATAAATAGACACATTATTTATAGCATTGCACTGGGGTGAATCACCTCCACTCATTTTTATTTTTCAGTTATTCCACCCAAGACTCAACACTCACCATCTCTGGAATGGTGCCTTGATTGGCCTCCTGATTAAATTTGTGTAAATTGGGAAAGAAGAGCTCTCAAGAAAAAATTGAAGTCCCACTGCAATAAGAATGAGAAAGTGATGATGAGCAGATAAAAAATAATGTTTTTCACATAGCTCTCAAGGCCCTGAGTCTTTCAGGATCTAAAGGTGTACACCATTGGTCTGTTCTCATTTAGTTCTTACACAAGTTCCATGGGGCCTCCATTTGGAGGACTCTTTGTTGATGATAATGGGCCAAAGACTTGGTGAATAACAAGTGTTTACTATGGAGAGAGAAAGTGTTTTCAATAGTGGTGTTAGTGAAGGATACTTCCTCCTGACTTCTAACATTTTTGTCCTGTAAAAGAAGTTTAATTAAGAAGTGTAACTCTGGGCCTTTCTCTGCCCTTTGAGCTATGAGTTTGTAAAATGATCCATCTGGCTGAGATATTTGGAAGGCGTAACTGGGGATGTGCAACTTAGCTAAGCCATGTTTGCCTCAGGAGTTATGGGCAGGGAGACCTGCCCAAGTGCAATGCCGCCCAAATTTGCGTGAGTAGGTCTCCTCAGATCCAGAGTTTGCTATTAGCAAGTTGCTTGACTAACCTAGTGAAGGATGTAACTTGCACCCTGACCTCCATCTGTAATACATATCACGTTTGCATGATATGTATTGCCATACATATCACATGTATTGTTTCCATATTTCTTCTTTGCTTTATTTCTGTACTTGTTCATAATCCAGATGAAAAAGGGGGAATTGCACTTTTGTGGGCCCCCTTGGAAACCCAAGAGAAGAATGCAATGTGAGCAAAAAGATCAGCAGCCTAAAGCAGTTTGGAGCATTTGGGAAGCTTTAGGTTCATATACCTGGACTAGAGCTGTAGGGTGGGACCTAAAGAAAGATGTGAGAATCATACAATCAGAAGACTCATATGCCATACCAAACAGTGTGAGCTTTACACAGAGGCCATTGTGGGAGAGCCTTAATAAAGAGCTGATGTATTGATTCATGGGATGGACATAAAAATGTCACTGTTTTGGAAAAGCTACTCAAGCTCTATTGTTGAGAATGTCCCATCAAAGCCTCAAACACAATGGATGGAGGCATCATATACACCACCTTCTAGGGTCCCGTGTTCCACAGGACATAAAAAAGCAAGTGAAGCAAAACAACAAAGAAAAGAGTGAAAGAGAGGCAGAGATAGAGTTTTCTAGTAGGACAGATGATTGTACTGTCCATTTCTACCAATTAATATTGGACTTAGTCTGGCTGCTGAGTACTGGAGACACAAAATAACAGTGTGCTCCCAGCACCAGATTTAATCTGGTTGTTTTCATCTCTGGATCCAAAAGAGCTCAGAGATGATACAAACCATTTCTCCCACAGGTTCAATGATTTGCCCAAAGTCTCAGAGATCACTTTTTAATTTGTCATTTTCAGCTTCCCCAACTAGCTCTTCTTCCTGTGTTCAATATTCTGCATCTATGTCCTGTAAGCCTGACTGATAGTGCCATCCTCCACTCCACCTACTTCCTGTTTCCTCCAGTTGCTTGTTTCCTTGTTAATTGCTTATTCTGTCTTAGGAGAATTGCCATTGCACTCTCGTTACAATAAAGCATGTTATCAATCATGTCAGTTCTTTGCTCAAAAGCTGTCATTCAACAAGGATGCAATGAAGGGCACTGAAATATGAGTCCCAGGATGTCTTTTGCTTCAATATTCCCTGCTTCCTTTTGTCAGATACGTTGCAGATGCCCAAGCTTGACCTGGGAGTTAAGGGGCTTCCTGATGGGGAGCTTAAGTTGGAGCAAACAGCAGACTTTTTCCAAACTACTCCTCATTCTTGCCTCTGCTTATGCTGTTTCTTCCACTACTGTTGCCTTCTGTCTGCCAAATCCTATAGCATCTTCAAGTCACCAATCCTTTGTTGTAGTTAAAGTTTCCATAATTTTCCATTCAGAACAGGCATAGGCAAAATATGGCCGCAGTCTGGCCTCCTGTATTTCTAGTGTGACAGCACAGCCACACCCCCATTGACACGTGGCCTTTGGTTGTTCTCAGGCTACAACTGCAGAGCAGAGAAGGAGAGGGCGTGACACAGGTCCTACAGCCCTCAGAGCTGAAGACATTTGCTCTCTAACCACTTACTGGAAAAGTTTGCTGACCCTCATTTAGAAGGTCAACAGACATCGCTTTGCTTTTACCTCTTTTAGTAATAAATAATGGCTTTGAACAACAGTCACCACTGATAGAGTAATTGACTGGGAAATTAGATAGCAGGCTGAGCCTTTTTTTTTTTAACATTATAGCAGTCAACTTTCATGACTTATTTAAGGACCAGGTCTGGCTCTTCACAGAGCACAGAACCATAAAAGACTAGAGAAGTTTGGGAGCCTGAGCAAGAGAGTGAGCAGTAAGTAGCCACAGTGGGATTTGAACTCATTTTTAATTTTTATTTATTTATTTTCACTCTTTGAAATCTGTGCTCTGACCTACTCTGCAGCTGACTGTATGTGTCTTCTCTCCTGGGGTGAATTTTAATCCCCTCTTTGTATACAGTTTAGCAAAGTGTCTTGCATGTGGTATGTTCAGTCTGTTCAATTATTAAATAAAAGCATGGCTACGTTCACACGTGCAGAAGAAGAAAGGGGCATGGGGCATTTAACCATTAGGTTTTTCTTGTTATTTTGACTATAGACAGGGGTTTTGATTGTTCTTGCTGTTGTCCTAATTGAATCTAAGTCCCTTGGGGGTATAGGTATTTATTTCCAAAGAAACAACAAAGAAATACGTTATATCTGGGCTTGGGCAATTCTTGTGAATTAGAGAACAGAACAACTGAGTCTACCAGTCATGTTTCAGCTGAGTATTGTTTCCAGCAAGCCACCTATCTCTCTAAGCCTATTTACCCATTTATATAACAAGAGAATTTGATTTGTACTATCTAAAGCTTTGTGAGTATGACTGTAACAGTACTTTTGGTGTGTTGATCTTAGGACCACAGAGTCTAAGACAGAGCAGGGAAGAGGAAGAGAGCTTACTTTTATAAAGTGCCTACTATGTGCAGGCACAGGTGTGGGTGTTTTTCAGGCATTGTCTCATTGAGAACTCCAGTGCAGTCCTGGAAGGAGCTGCAATACTTCTTATAATAACAGAAATAGAGGTTCAGAGGGATTTAAAAAGTTTCCTTAGATCAAGCACAAAGTGAGATTCCCAGCAGGGATTTGAGCCCTGGTCAGACTGATGACAAATGATATACTGTTCCCACCACGTCAGGGTTGTCACACTATGCCAATCCACAACGGACAGTCACTGAGGGCTGTGCTTTGTTTCTTTGGCTTTAGTCCAAAGTAATTGATCTGAAAGTGCAGGGAAGTCGAGACTACAGCATAGACATGAAGCTCATGAGAGTGAGACTTCAGCTTTCCGCTCTTCATAATCACAAGCTGCCTGCTGCTCAAGTCTGTTGTGATGTGATAAATCTTGTTGTTTTTCTTAAACATAATGCATTTCTCTTTTATTATCCTTACCTGAGGACATTAAAAAAATTTCTTTTTCAGAGAGTGGCAGGGGAAGAGTGAGAGAGAGAGAGAAACATCAGTGTGAGAGAGAAACATTAATTGGTTGCCTTCTGTACATGTCTGGACCAGGGAGTGAACCCATAACCTTTTGGTGGATGGGATGACACTCCAGCCAGCTGAGTCACCTGGCTAGAGCATAATACATGGAAAAAAAATCATCACCACCAGCATCTGAGTGAGGGCCTTTGTGGCTCTAGTCCGATCGTTTAGGACAAAACCTTAGACACTTCGCTCATTCCTTTAGATAAATCTCCCAATTTTTCCACAACAATATTCATATTCATCAAAGCTGATTGTGTCATTCTAAATTAGGGTAAAGACTAAATACTAAATTTAGCACTTTATGTTTCTGAAAATAATACAATATTTTATATTATCAGTTCTCTGCAGATATATTTAGTGTTATATGTCCCTTTCAACTTCATTATAAAAACACAGACTGCAACCAAAAGTAATAATAACAGTCAATGTGTAAATAGTTCATAATTTCCACTTTTATGTATAATTAACCCTCCTTAACTAGCTTATGAAGCAGGTGCAGTGATTCATATTTTACAGGTAAGAAATAGAGGCTCAGAAAAATGAAAAGGCTTGCCAACTCCAGCTAACCTTCACTGACAAGACTGGCCAGGTGCACTTCCAAAGAGTTAACATGCATCAAATCCTTGAGTTTTCATGAGGGGTGGAGGCTGGTTCGGAGCCAGGCTTTCGAAACCAAATTCCCTTATTTTCCTCCACACATTGCTGCCTATCCATGGAACATATTAAATATCATTTACCCCATTTTTCTTATTTTGTGGTTATTTTGTCTTCTACTCAAAAAGAAAATCTAAAGAATATAGCACAACCAATAATTGCACAATGATAATTCAACTTTGATAGAAATGCTTTGTGGTTTTTAAAAAATTTGACCTTACTCCAGGAGGTAATATCATTACACTCAAGAGTCACAGGTACAAACAAACAAACAAACAAACAAACAAACGCACACACACAGTGGCTCAGGAAAGTTCTAGCACAAAGGTTTATATAGTACAGGTTCTAGTCCGTAGGTTTTCCTCTCTTCTTGTCTGTGTCTGCTCACCCTTTTCCAAATAACCAATAATTCATCCCGACTCTATTCTCCCCCATTTCCTGAAACAGATGAGGTGGAAGAGAAGAGACCAGCCAGACCAGGCAGAGTGAACACTTAACCTGCTCCTTTCTCCTTGCTTCCTCCTTGGTGTTATACAATCAGGCAACACAGGTTTTCCAGGGCCAAGATGAGGGAGATTAGATTTTACAATGATGCAAATGTCTCTCTGGAGGGCTGCATTTCACCTCATGTTCACTGAAAGCCTGTGTTGACAGTTTCAACTGTAAGGAACATTCCACCTCTAACTGCTTGGCCATGAGTCACCTCCAAAGTCTCCATTGGCAACATCTGTCTAATTTGTTCTTTTCAAATTGTGATTTTAACTTTACACTGAGGATGCTTTAGAGTGAAAACTGTGTGTTGCTTTTTTTTTTATCAGGGAACTGCAGAAAATAAGTATGCCAGTTGAAATGCGAAATTGTTATCACATTCCAAAGTTGTTCTCAACACTCTCTGGTCTTGTGCATCATTCGTAGTGGAGGACTAGAGCTAAGAGTTGGATTTTATACTTTCAGTAACTGAACTCTTGGTAGACGACACATATGCATTCATAAACCATGGGCCTAGCAGAATAATTCATCTCTCTCTTTAATATTCAGATTTCTTCACTCAAGTTCCCAGAGAGGCCTTGGCAAACCACCCCCCATCAGTATGAGAGCTAGTTTTCAGTATAATACATTTTTTTTGCTTTCACACCCAGCATGATTTATGCATTGCCTCTGACATGGGGTATGTTCTCCGAGATTTTCTCAGTGAATTTCCTGAAGCCAGCATAAATGATCTTCCTAAAAATTGAAGAAACATTGCAATCTTAGGAAGTCCTTTAAGACCTCAGACCTTATTTAAAACTAATATTGAATATATTTTTGTTTCCAAATTCAGTGTTTTGCATAGTTCCTTTGACACTAAATCCCATGTTAGAGGCTGTGTGCCTACTGGTGAGCTACATAAGTGCAGAGGCAATGTCTTGTTCATCTCAGAATCCACAGCACCTAAACCCAGCTATACCCATCTAGTAATGTACAGGCTCTCATGAGAAAGGTTGCTTAGGACCAGCTTCTAGACCAGTCTCTAACCAGCTATTTGAACTTAGACAATATCTTTATCTTCCCAAGTTTTTATTTTCCTCATGTGTAAAAGGGGCTTATAATGGCACTTAACATACATATTTTGGTGGCAGATTAGATAAAACTAAATGAGTTAATTTATTGTCAAGAGCATAGACAGTACCATTGCCCAACACACAGTAATTACAAAAAAAGATAGTTATTGTTAGAAAGGGAATCATTAAAAATCTTCTGAATTTTCTTGAGTAAAGTTGTAAAACATACAATTCTTTGATATCCAGAAGTTTCTGTTACTATAAACCTTCAAAGAGTTCTCTAAGAGGTATTGGAAAGAATAAATATATTTATCATCAGACATCCTGGCTTTGAGTCTCTACTCTGTGAGTTATTAGTGGGCAGGTTTCCCCATCACTCTGAGGTTTGCCGATCTTTGTGGGTAACATCAGATAATATTAATAACTCCTGCATGAGTTTGTTGTGAGGATTGTATCTGTGGAAACATTCTTCATGGCAGGAGTTTTAAAATTTTAATCCAAAAAGCCTTTGTTCAGAGAACATGTCTTTATAAAGAAGCCCAAACAATAAGCAAAGAAAATGAATACTCCTGGAGCTGAATTTATAAACTTAAAATAGGGTTGGATGAGAGTTCAATGCACTAATCCCCTTGACTCCCACACATGTCATGTGGCATGACAGTTATCATGCCACAAGGAATGAGCGTGCTGGTAAGTTTTTTCCCCCTCTCTCTTCTTTTGTGGTTCCAAATATTTCTTTAATGAATCATAATTTTCCTGGATTTTAGAAGAAGACCCCAGTGACCCTAACCAGCTTTTGGGAAGACCAAGAC